AGATCCCAGAGCCTGAAGTCCACCCTAGCCAGGCCAAGTTGCAGTCAACCTGCAGATCTGTGAGTGGGAAATAACTGCTTGCTGTTTCAAGCCATTGGATTTTTGCAGTGGTTTGTTACATAGCATTATTGAAGCAGTAGCTGACTAATACATTACCTAAAATAGAAGCAGGAGAGCAAATACTGACCATCTGTCAGGGAAAAGTCCTAAAATGTCCACTAAATGCCAACTTATGCATATCAGATTGGGTATCCCAAGAGTTGGGGCTAATAACTGGAGCATCTAGTCATCAATTTATCTCAAATATCCACACTTGTAGCAAAAATCAGGAATTTTTTTAAAAATAGCAAATCAAAAGGTAAGATGAGATCATATAACATTCTCTACACATCCCAAACCAATATTCCAATATTCTAAATCAAGGTAATTAGTGTCATTAAAAGTTGGTCCCAAAGAAATCTGTCCAGTGGTTCACAAATATGTACCTGATAGTTCTCTAAGTTTGTTTCTATTTAGCAACAATAACGAGTTTACATTTTTAGATGTCTGCACATTATTAAGTACTTCCACTCCATTAACTTACTTCTGTTCAACATCCCTCCAAGATAGGCAGAATAGGTTATGCCCCATTTTACAGATGAGAAGACTGAGGTTCAGTAAGGTATGTTGCTTGCTTAAGGTCACATGGTTAATAAATAGTGAAACCAAGTCTAGATCCTATCTCTTTCAAACCAGCCTTACTGTGTTTTTATTATCTATTATTATCTGTGTAGACATTTTAAAAATTATAGATTTCCTAAAATGAAGATCACTGTCTTCTCACAACACCTTCCCAAGGGTCTAAGGTTTGTTAGTTGATGTACTTAGCATACTGTAGATGCTCAAACAGTAGGAAAAACATTAGTTATGGAATAAAAAGTCTGTGCTGATGCTCCACTAGCCATTTCCAGGTACTTTAATATTAATAGCTCTACGAACCTAATGTGTTTTAGTTTGTTTGTTTTGTTTTTTTGTATCATATGGATTTATAAGTTGGCAAGTATTAATTTGATTATAGCAGGGCTTTTCCAAAGAGGTTTATCTGCGTACATCATAATTGTTGACTCATTAATGCACACGAACTCATGCTACTTTACCATTTCTTTGTAAATGAAGGCTACTTCATTTTTACTTCTCTATGCTTGAAGTTGATGGTATCTTATCTGGTATCTACAACGAGGAACGGCACTGTGCAACCCCCTTTACCCCGAGCACATTGAACTTCTATCAGTGAAAGCATTCTACCTACCATGTTTCCTTTAACAACGTAAGGAATCTACAACAAGCCATGGCTTGGTTCTAAAGGAAAACCTTCAGCTACTGAGGATGATTTCATTTAGCCAATGGTTGCCATCTTGCTTACAGTGAAAATACAGCCATTTTCTTTACTGTGTATACAAGTTCTGCAGAGCTGTTTGTTTGGTTTTTCACAAAGACAATACAAAAATAAATGAGGCCTCGATTTGGTTTAGGTAAGCAATCTTTTGAGCCAGCTGTATTACTAACTGATCCATAATTGCTCTGCATTTATGAGGTACATAGTTTATTCTCTCGCTTGCCACACAATAGGCCGTGCGAGTTAAAGAGCTCCAAGTTTCAAGGGCTGGAGTTTTTGGGTGCCTGCCAGGACTGATCTGTTTAGCAAACAAGCTGGAGGGTGCTTATTAGTAGGTTGTGGCTTGCAGACCAGGAAGCCCCTGGGGCCAGATACACTGATCAAATGGTGGATCTATATACCAGCGAGGCCATTGGATGAAAAGGGGAACGGCACCACATTACTAAATATGCTTCGCATAGGCCTTAATTACGCCACCGTAAATGAGTTCTTTTGTAACTCTTTCTGTTGGTCCAGAAGACAGGCTATTAAAGATTAACATAGGAACAATTTTTCAAATTAAAATGTAGACAGTTCTGATGAGTTACAGCTATATTATTCATAGTATAAGAACAAGCCCTGGTTAGATTGGGAAAGTGAAGAGTCATATTTCTAGTGGAACAAAACACATCTTATTTTCTCCAGTTGCATTTCTTTTTTAAAAAATTACTAGTCTTCTCTGCCCCCTGCTTAGATTTTTGTTTCTATTGAGTGACTCAAGGTGGCTTGAGGCTTTCAAATTAATGCCTGGTAGAGTATCATTGAGGCCTCAGAAGAATGAAGTTAGTCTGATTTTTGTTACATCAAAAAAAATCTAGATAATGTCATCTTTTGCCATTCTTGGTCTCACACATTTTCTTCTGTTGCCTTCACTAGCTTGCCCTAAATTTTAAGGCAATAGCGTAGAATGTACCTTTTGAGTGTTGTTATATTTTAATAGAAGCTGTTTCAAGAATACAGATGCATGACTGGAGAAATTTTTGAGTCAGCCCAGTATGTCATTAATAAAAACATTTTTTGTCTCTTGCTCTGCTGTTGATTGGTTAATAATTTGCTCTTATAAAGTTATGAGATAGTTATCCATTAAATACCAATCTCATAAAGTTATGTACGCATGCGGTATAGAAGAAGAGAGACTTGGGACTTCCCTGGTTGTCCAGTGGGTAAGACTCCACGCTCCCAATGTAGGGGGCCCGGGTTCGATCTCTGGTCTGGGAACTATATCCCATATGTGTGCTGCAACTAGGAGTTTGCATGCCACAACTAAGAAGCCTGCATGCTGCAACTAAAAGATCCCTCATGCTGCATCGAAGGTCCCGTGTGCCACAACTAAGAGCTGGCACAGCCAAAATAAATAAATAAATTTTTTTTTATAAAAAGAGAGAGAAACTTGAAAACACAGAGCTATATGTTAAAATGATAACGAGTGACCCTAAATATAATTTGCATTCAAGGCAGAACCATCTATATTATAATAATGTGACAAAAGAACAGCATAAAACAGTTTTGTAAATGCAAATGATATTTTAAACCCAAATTTGAGAAATTCTCATAAAGGGATCAAACTAAAAACAAATTTACACTTTCACGATATTCTTGGACTTACTTTACCATCTGTAATATTGGCATGACTAAAGTAATTTTTAGTTTAGGAGGAAAGTATTTACATAGAAAAATATCATCCTAAAAAGTGTGGCTATTATGTCAACTGTAATTATTTAGCGTTGATAAAATTGGCCATATTTATTTTTTACCAAAACATTTAACCAAAACCAATGCACCATAACAAATACCACACTTTTTTCTTTATATAAACCTCAAAACCATTTTATTCATAGCAATGAAACTATTCTTTATTTCTTGACATTGTATATGTGGATCATTTTACTGTTTTAAGAAGTTCACCTGATAGAAATTAGCTACTTTGAAAGGTGCTTAAGCTTGTACAGTTTGGGCATGCAAGTTTCATTGGGTCCAAGATTTCAGAACCTAGAGTAAAGTAGATAAAGTAGGCTGAGAGCTTGAAGCATAACTACCTAAAATGCATGGGAAGCTGAAATTCCTCTTTTCAATTTCTGTCATTTGTTTCATTCCGACACATATTTTTGGACTCTCTATAATGTTCCTGCTTCAGTGCTTGATTCAGGGGAGACCAAGATCTGGTCCCTGCTTTTGCAGACACCGTATTGTGTCTTTGCTCATGCTGGGCCCTCTCGCTGGGATCCCCCCTGCCTTTCGGTGACTGGCAAACTCCAACTGACCCTTCAGAGTTCACCTTCTGGGAGGAGGAGCTTTCCCTGCCTCCCCTGCCCCAGTCCTCTGAGGTGATGCCCTTTGGGCCGCCTTCAAGTGGCTCCATGCTGCATGCCCCTCCCACTATAGTTATAAGTTGATTTTTCTGTCATCCCCACAACAAAGAAACCCAAACATCTGTTGAGTATTTGCTAGCTTATGGGCTAATTCTATTATCAAGATTAGAAAAATCACCTTCATGGACCAAAGGAAGAAAAGTTCTCTCCCTTCTTCTCCTCTCCAACCTTCCACTTCTAAGCCTGAGCTCCTTATGTTCTGCCCAAAAGGTAATTTGCTTCTTGGCCAGTATTGTGACCAATGAGTAAGATACCTCTTAGTACAGGAGCCCGCTGGGGATTCAGAAACTGTGTGAAGCCATTTCAGAAGTTCGGTCCTTTCAGTGTCTCATACGAGTGTTTCTCTATGTAACAGTATCAAAACGCTGAGCATGTAGGGCTCTCACAGTCCAGCTTAGGATATCAGATCGGGGAGTCCTAACTGAGGCAATACCAATCCCACTAATGTTCTGGGACTGGCTTACCTGTATGCTGCGGTGTTGACCCCTCAGGCTTGAGTAAGACCAGGGCTGGCTGGAGGCTCCAGACCCATCACTTCTGCCCGGGAGCAGCTTTGTCTACTTCCCTGTGAACCATGCACATAGTATCGTTATCTATGCAACTCGATGTGAACAGGACTAGGAAGCACTGGTTGGAGCGATGGTTTCTAAATCTGGGTCAGGGTCAGCATCACTTGGGGGAACTGTTAAAAAAAAAAAAAGGCACCAGATTCTCAGGCTGCCCCCGGGTTCACAGAATCAAATTCTTTGACTCCTGGAGCCAGGAAATAGGCTCTTAAGAAACTTCTCAGGTGACTCTCATGTTGTAGAGATCAAGGTTTGAAAACATCTGGATTATAAGCGTGGGCTTTGGGATGAGCTATGCCTGTTTCGAATCATGGCTCCATCACTAATTATTGCGTAAGTTATATAAACTCTTTGAGCCTCTGTAAAATGTAGATGAAAACACTTACATCATGCAGAGAAGGAAGTACATAGCACCATGCCTGGTCTGAAGGAACACTAAATAAATCATAGTTCTTATTGTTATTATTATTTACACTTACTGGTACTTTAATGACCAGAGTTAAGGCACCTCCCATGGCCCCTCCCATTCCTGGGTTTCTTTATCACTTGAGGTTAAGGCTACTGAATGACCATCCCTGGGCCACATATATTTAGCAGTTTAGGGACCTCTTGAGATGCATTTGCACTTACCGCTCCACCTTCCACCTCCAGGGCACAGAGTTCCAAGGTTACAGCACAGACAATGACGATAGAGAAGAGAATCGTGCTAACCAGCTTGCCCAGGAGCGGACTCTAGCTTTACCACCTGAGCCAACCTAGCTGTGGCTAATTTTGAAAAGGGAGAAATAGCACTCAATATATTCCACAGGTAAGGAAAAAATAAGAACTTTTATTTCCTTTGCTAACGTAGATAAACATTTGTATGTTTTAAGTATAAATTCTTGTTTAAACATTTGGCCTTGCGTTAAGTTGTGCCTTTGACCAAAACTTCTTGGAGTACTAATAAAATCTTGAGCTTCTGCTAGATAAGTAAAATCTTCCTTGGTCAAAATTAAGAACAGTGCCATCTTCTATAAGGTTTTAGAAAAAAAAAATTCAACTACAGAAAATGATTAAAAGGCAGAACCACTTTTAAAGATAAAAGTTTATAATTAGCATGGAAGTTCTATAATTTAAAATGGAAAGTTTGTGAAGCTATAGGAAAACAGGGTAAACTTCAGCTACAAAATAACAGGTTTCATATGTTAAAAATATCAATCATTTAACCCAAAGTGAACCAATTATAACACATTTCCTCTAATGTATGAGTCTGAAGCCCAGAGGTAAGCCCACTGACTTATAGGAAATAAGTCATGTCCTTAATACTAATGACCAAACTTTTGCCATATATTGCTGTCTAAATTGATAATTCCAAATTCCGGTTCCATTCAAGTTATTGGGTTCAGTATTGTTATTTTAATAGTGTAGGAGCACTTACATAGTATACTGCATTGAAGTTTGTCATCAATGTAATAACCATGTATCACTTATATAATTGTTATTATCCAGACAAATATGTTTTTCATAGTCATCTGGGATCCATTTGGAGTAGCATAACTCCTGTTTTAACTTAGAGTTAGCTTTATTTCCATATTATTTCACTTCTGTATATCAAAAGCATACCTTGCAGCTTGACAGGTAGTAAATTGGTATTGTCAAAGAACTGTCAATCATTTCAGAATATATTCTTCTAATCAACTGGCATGAACTTGATACATGATAGATAGCTTATCAAGTGTCTGTTTGGATTCTTTCATTTGGAGTGTGTTGACTGAACCTATGGCATGAGGAAACTTGATCTCAAGCTAAAGTAATGGAATTTTTGTACCTAAAATATAAAGAATTTGGGGGGGGGCAGGGGGTAAGGGAGTGTAGGTGATGAAATACTTCACCGTGCAGTGCCAACTCCTTTTGCCCCCCAAGAGTTAGTTTAAAATTGGGATCACTGAGTTCCAAAGCCCACTGCACTCCAGGAAATAATTTAAACTATGCAGTGGTGTGAGTATCATTTTATTCATGGCGCATGACAAAGAAAAATAAATTTGACTACCAGGAGTTTCCTTTTAGAAAACCAATTGGTTTTTACCAGCATGATCATATATCTGTTCACACTCCTGATGAGCAGTGGAGATAGCCCACCGCCTGCCTTTGGGTTTGCAGGAAGTTTGGGATACCTCCCCAGCTATTCTGGCCTACTCCACACTAGGTTTCAGTTATTAACTGAAATTTTCCCAGTGGTCCACTAAGTAAAATGTGGAATTTATTCTCCATAACTATTCATGCTCCAAAACTAAGACTTCAGTCAGATCTCTCTCATATATAAAGAGAATAGGAGCCTAGAGCTTTCCATGACACATCAGGTCAAAGAGAGCCTGTGATTACTTCGATTGGTTTCACTGTTCATGTGCTAGCTTTCCTTTCTCTGAACTTCTTCTACACTGTATTTTAATATAAGTTGTTTTGTTGTCACGTTTGCGTTTGTGTGGTTTTATTCTGCACCCAGTTTATTGAAAGCTCTTGGGTACAGAAATTGGGTCCTGTATTCCTGCAACATTGGATTAGAAACATAGTATTTTAAAAACATTTATTAAGTGAATCATGTGAATTGATTGCAACCTGTCTGGATTACTTAGAGATCTGCTTTAATTTTCCCCCTTACGTATGTATGCATAAGCACATTGTATTTATACTAAGCCTCTAACCCCAGTCAACCACACAGTAAGAATGGAGTTACCTGTAAATTCTGGGAGACTCCTGCCTCAGAAAAACATGTACAGTTAAATGAACTAGAGTAGAATGGATAGAATACTTTTATCTGAAGTAAAGATGAAAAGATCATGCATGTGTGTGTGTGTGGGGGGGTCATATAGGGCTCTTGAGGGAGTACAGTATCTGGATAAAGGCATTTTCCCCATCTGAGGCTCCATTTCCAAACTCCTGTCACCCGAGTCATATTCTTGCCAAAGACACAAAAATGGGGGTCAATGTTGGGTGAATATTTCCTCTGCTTACAGACCTCTAGGTTGGTGTTTCTCCTTGTGTTAGCATTTCCACTGGAGCTTACTGAAGCTGATTACATCATATTCTGGAAGAAAAGGTTTTACATCTTTAGGCTACCATTTGACTGCACATTATTTCAATCAAATCAAGATCAGTCTAGAGAAAGGGAAAGTAACATTAGCATGGAGGAAGCACCAACTCCACAGAAGAAATACAAATCAGCATGCAGTACATTTTAACAAAATGATCATCATAAAAGATTACAGACTCAATGGAAAAAAAGAAAACCACAGGAAACTTTGTACGCAAAGAAGCTTAAGTATAGCCGTTGTTTGCAGCTTAAATCTATTCCTAGGTATGCCACCTGTCTTCTTGACACTTTCAAAAAGTATATACATTTTCTCAAAAGTTGTTCTTTACTGAATTAATAATTTTTACCAAAAAATTGTTATGCATCCTCATGCTTAAAAGTGAAACATTCCTTAAAGATTCTAAGCGACTTATACCATAGTATGTATAAAAACTGCCCTCCCTGCAACTCCTCCCTCCCCCTGCCAACTAAATTGACATCTAATCTGAAACTCAATAGAAATGTTCCTATTTAACATTGTAAGTAGTTGATCCAGAGGATTTGGAAATTGCTGGTATTAACTGAAGAGAGGAAAGTAGGGCTGTGGTCTGCTGAGCATGCCTGAGTTGGTGGCAATATGTGCCTTATCCCAATCAATACCTTCAGATTCTTTCTTTAAAGTTGCACAGGGCTTCCCTGGTGGCGCAGTGGTTGAGAGTCCGCCTGCCGATGCAGGGGACACGGGTTCGTGCCCCGGTCCGGGAAGATCCCACATGCCGTGGAGTGGCTGGGCCCGTGAGCCATGGCCGCTGAGCCTGCGTGTCCAGAGCCTGTGCTCCGCAACGGGAAAAGTTGCACAGAGTTCATTCAAAGCTGCTATTGATGTAATGCATGGGTGTGTGTATCCCTTATTGAGGTTACATACTTGAGGTGAGGTAGCGATATAACTGCTTTATTTTTTTTTAATTTATTTATTTAATTAATTTAATTTGGTTGCGTTGGGTCTTCGTCGCTGCGTGCGGGCTTTCTCTAGTTGCAGCTAGCGGGGGCTAATTTTTGTTGCGGTGCGCGGGCTTCTCATTGCGGTGGTTTCTCTTGTTGCAGAGCATGGGCTCTAGGCACGTGGGCTTCAGTAGTTGTGGCACGCGGGCTTCAGTAGTTGTGGCTCGCGGGCTCTAGAGCGCAGGCTCAGTCGTTGTGGTGCATGGGCTTAGTTGCTCTGCGGCATGTGGGATCTTCCCAGACCAGGGTTCGAACCCGTTTCCCCTGCATTGGCAGGCGGATTCTTAACCACTGCACCACCATGGAAGCCGATAACTGCTTTATTAAAAGGATGTGGACCTTTAAGTGCCATAGCTACGGAAAGTGGGGGTAGTTATAACGCTGCTGTCTGTCTTCAGTAAAAATATCTGCATCCCACTCCCACCTCCATCCTCAAGCATTGGGTAATAATACCTACAGCAGAAAGAAGATTTGTCTAATGAGTTATGAAAGTTGTTTCTTTTGAGAACTGGGCCCTGCTCACAGTAGAATAATTAAGTAATCACTGCTATCGTGTGAATCCAGCCTAAAATTGCAATTTTGGGTCCATATGGGAACAATTTGGCATGGGAGATAATTACTGAAAGTATAAATGTAGTTTAATTCTTCAGCAAGTGGTAACGACATCAGAGACAATTACCCATCATCACTCTAATTACCTGATAGGGTTTATTAAGCACCCATAGGCCACTAACTCTATATTATGGATTGTACCATCAATTGAAGTGGGCAGAGACCTTGCCCTTTGGGCACTGACGCGAGAGAACAGATAGCAGATCGTCAGATGCACAAACTGAACATTTCCCAGTCCTCCTGGTTTTCAAACATCATGACTTTGCTGGTTGAGCAAACTGTTGTAGACAATTTGAGCTCTAGGACAAAAGATGGAGGATTATGATTTCCACAGGGGTTAAAGGTCTTAATGCCTCAGCCAGGTATTATCCTATGTGTCTGTGAATGCAAAAATACATTTAGGATCAAAAGGAAATACTGTCAAGAATGTGAATGGGTTGCCCCAGGCTCCCACCCGCCAATCACAGACTCCTGGAAGAAAGCTCAAGACTAGATTTGGCTAGGGTCTTTCAGGCCACTTAACCAACTTGCCAGTTACATGGAAGTCTTCATCAACTGAGATGATCACTGGCCGTGTCAAAAAACAAGCCTATTAAGGCTGTAAGAAATTTAAATTTTAATATACCTCTGAGTGATATACTGGATTGGAATAACTTTCTCGCTATTTGAATAGCTAGAAAGGACTCTAATGTTTATAGACTGTCTTTCATGTGTAAGCAGTAAGCCAAAGCCCATTTATGGTGTATTATGGCTCATCACAGTCATTTGTTCTCCTCTGCTCTTTATTTTGGCAATATCATCCAAATACAAATTCTATTTAAATGTATTATTCCTAATCTATATGATGTCATTGTGCTTTGCATGGAATGGCACTCTATTGCTGTTTTAACTTGGAGGAAATTGAAAGATCTTTCTTCATGGTAAAGATTATGATGAATCAGATCTCAGTCTTAAAAGCTCATTTAGTTTTGGATGCAAAACTTCAGACTTAAGTGGAGTTGTACAGTGTGAGGAGAGATGAAAGGGACTTCAGTCTTTGAAAGATTGTGTCCCCTCCTGACAACTGCAGAATGGGGTACCCAAATGATGCCATTCATTGAATAATCCATCTTGAAAATGAATTCCTGGAAGACAGATTATCTTCT